GTAATTTTATTTGTTGCTCCCGCCTTGCCCGCTCTTCCTCATCCCGTCTTGCCGTTTCCTCTGCCTCTCTTCTTGTTTCTTCTCTCCGTACATAAAGAAGGGCTGTGTCGAGTGCTCCCTTTGCAATGGGAATGACCGTATCCTTTCCTTCAAAATCCCTCCAGTGTTCAAGCAAGAACACGCCTTCTTCTTTCAGTGTATATGCAGACTCCAGTAGTATTTTCGTCTCTCGGCATAACGGGAATTCCGTCATTGTGCACAATGACGTTTCGCCGTTGGGGAAAAACGCATGGGGTTCATAAGAAACCTCTCCATAGAGACGTCCTCATTGGCGTCCACAACGCCCCTGCCGCCAAGAAAAATACGAAGGAATTCATTCAGCCTCATGCTGGTGATGCGATCCTTTCCCTCCAGCAGTACATCCTCCACTTGGCTCAAAAGTGTCCAATTTGTTTGCTGCCTTTTCCCCACTCCTCTGCAAGTCGCAGCGGGTTGATCGGTGTCAGTATGGAAGTCCGACCTCGTCCTCTTCCGACAATCCCCTTGCGGCACAGTGGGCACTCGACTCTCCACATTGCCGCCTTGTACACTCTCCGGCCTTCCAGCAGGCATCGTTTCTCCTCGTCTTTCTGGTTGGATTGAGTCGGATCTAAACAATGGCCACCAAACAAAAAAGGGGGATGAAAAAAAGAAAGACAATAGGCACAGTCATGACTCGCAGCCAAAACAAGAGACTCATCCACAGCAAGAGAGTCATCCACACAGTATTCGACACACACCACATGCACGAGGACCATCACAACGATATGTGGATGTCATCCACCCAGCACAGTGTTGGTTAGAGCCAACAATAATAACAACGTGGTGAGCGCGGAGGATTCCTCCACGCATACCGCTCGCCACGGTCCCGCATCCGTGTGGCACCGCCGTCACCGCACACACTCTGCAGGAGGGCGTGGGCAAATAAACCCTGACAGAACCCCAAATCATACACGCCACAACAGCGATGCATCACGGTAATCCCCCACACAACAGAAAAGAGTGCAATTTGCATGCTTTATGGAAAATATCTGCAATGCGCGTGTCGCAAAAGAGTGCCGTGACGCCGCCTTTCATGTTGCATTCGCCATTCACGTACCACTTGGAAGCACGCAGCCATCACTCCTCCGTTCAGCTCCCCGTGCTGCTCGTGTCGCTCCACTGGAGGAATTTGTCACCGCACATCCCCATCACCGTGCATTGCGGAATACAAATCAACCACACGGCATGGGTGCGGTGCCACCCCGCCAATAAATCCCAGGAAATACCCCACTGCCTCGTGTGGCACGGGCGGCAGTATCATGATGCCTGCAGAAGGCCTTTTTTCCAAACAAGAACGCGGCCCCAGCACACGCCCGTAAAAACGTTTGGTCCGTCGCACGCAAAGGAGTTGAGCGGGAGAACAGCAGGAAAGACAACACCGGCAGCCATGAGCAGCCCGCACACGCCAACACACCGCTGCCCCGCATATCACCAAAAATAAAAATACCAAAGAAACTTGTCACATCCCAACTACAAATCGCAAGTGCGGTTGCAGCACACACTCCCACCTCCTGGGCATGTGCGGCCCCTCGCTGCTCGGCGCTCTAAGTGAAATCACAAAAAGCACCAATTCGGGAACATTCGACCACCGCCACAGCAGTCACGCTCCCCATTTCTCACAAAGGCAAAGGCTTGCGACGGCGCAGCGGACGGCGGCACGCACAGTCGCAGGGTAATGGACTGCCGCGGAAATCACGAAACGGCGATGCGCCCCTCCTTTGGGAAACCCAACAAAAAACATGTGTCGCGCAGTCCCCGTGAGCAACACACATTGAACCGTATTCAGCTCCACTACTTTGGCCATCCGCACACACAGCATGAGTGCGACAACGCAGGCAAGGAAGCACGGAATAACAGCACTCATCCCTCCCATAAAGGCTTTGCGGTGTCCGTGCTGCCCTCAACAATAATTCCACCCCACATCACCCCTCTGCATATCCGCAGCAAAAAGGCCCACACGGTGTACACTACATTACAATTTCCTAAAGAGCAAGCCGGATCATCAGAGTGCTGCCCTCTTCTCAATGTTGGGTAGAATCTCTCTGCTCCTTGTCGCCGGCAGCCTGCGGTATTATGGAGAAGCATTACGTTCTCGGCATATCTTTCCATTTACTTCACTTTCTCGAAGCCGCAAATGAAGTGATGTCCCACAAGCAATTTCGACCGTTCCGAAGAAAGTGACGTGTCAGACGCGCTGAAACTGTGTGCGTATGTGTTATTACGGGCGAGCGACACGATGCTCTTGCACATCCATGTATTCCGATCCTGCGCAGCACCCCATTTGGCGGTGCGGAAAACGTTGGACACCACGCACGCACAAATCGCACAATGAATGCCCCTGAAAAATAATAATAATAACGTCAACACAGACACAGTGACCGAACAAATTAACAAAAGAAATCCAACCTCTGCGCGTCCTCCCACAAGAAGGTGAAGACACACACACTTGTCCCCTTAGTTTCACTCCAACTGCTCGGAATTGATGGGTCTATAGTAGGAGGAAACACGCTACTCTTCCCTCGCTCCCTGTCACGAGGCATGGATGCTGCGAGAGGCTGCCAAGATGAGCCTCACGTGTGTGGAGGGCCCAATGCTCGGGGCAGGTCGACAGCCACCCACACTCACCCCCACTCACAAAAGGGCAAAGGCAAAGGCATGGAGAAGAAGCCCGCCGCACGGTGCATTCAAGAAGGCACACGCAGAAGCACCGCCATCCACATCGTACCGCAAAACAGCAATGCGAACAGCACACACCCACGACCGCAACAAGAGGAACGAGGCGCATCCAAGTCCAACACAGTCCTTTACTTACCATTGCCCCGAAGGAATAGCGTTACGCCTCACAGCAGGTCGTGGCGGTGGCGCCCCACACTCACAGTGAGGCACGGCGCACACCATCAGCTCCCCTCAGAACGCACTCATCAGGGCGCCCAGTCACCCTCGCACCATCGCAATGGTGAACACAAACGATCGTCGTCGCGGACTATCGATGCTTCTAGCAGAAAATAAAAAGTGATGAGAGAGTGTCAACTGCACGGCTAGCAGTGGGACACCCAATGGGACACAAAGATAAATAGTGGCATTCAGTACAGCATATAATAAAACAAGCCGCAGCAAATTGCCAAATACAGAAAAACAAGAAAAAAGGCGTAGGTTCAGTAGAAATAAATAATAATAATAATAAAGAAAAAAAAATAAATCACCCCAGTGGACCTTCATTTCGTATATCCCTCAGCGCAGCAGGAATTGTGCATCTCCATATGTTTCTTACAGAGGAAAAAAAGATCGCAGTGTTCCACGTGTCCACACGAAATCCCTCACATTTCATGAGGCACTCGGCCTCTTCCTCCACCCCTCGTTTTGTACAGTCCGCGGGACTGCACAGCAATGAGGCCGGCACCGCGTGCGGTGCAACAAAAGCAAATAAAACAGGGGGAAACACGTCACTCATGAAAGTGTGCAGCTAGCGGCAAACAAAAAATAAATTAAAAAATAGTAAAAAGACAGGGGTTCTGATCCCTCCTACAAAGCACCAGCAGCACATTATATCCAGAGGTGAAAACAAAAGGGATAAATAAAAAACCTCAACGGAGTGCATTGAGTCTTCCTGAGGAGCTGCACACCCTTTTCCACGGGGAGTCGCGGCTCCACTCCCGCCGTCTCACACAGCTAAGAGCTGCAATGCCCAGAGCCCCAGAAGTAGAAGCAACAAGATCCGAGGCACACACACACGCACCGTGCCGTAGCCACTAAAGCCCTTCTTCAAAAAAGTGTTGTTCGTGAGCTGAGAGGCGTTTCCATCTTTGGAACCACCGTCAGTTCCCGCTGGATCATCCGGCCCTTCAAGCATTTTCCCAGAAAGAGACT